CTTCAGTATCGACCGAGTACAAAACATTTAAAATGAGAATGGACTGGATGAAAAATCGATGAACGTTACTTAATGTCACATCATGGAAGAGGTTGAATCCACGACCATGAAGATGTACAACATAATGTGAGTAAACTGTACCATGAAACTTGGATGGTGATTGTTCGGTGGTTCAAATCACTATCCCTTGCGTGATCCAAGTCAACATTAGAAGCTTGAACTCGGCAATCAACATACAGATTCAGTGATAGACAACTTTACAAGCACGATTCACGATAAAAAAAACGCCGTCTTGACCGTTGGGCAGAACATTTCGAGGCTCAGTTCAACTGGCTCCCTTCGACATCTGAACTATCAGCTTCCACCTCGACGGGGTAAATATCCTCAGTTGATGCAGGTCTTCATTTGAAATGGAGGTTTACCGAGAAATAACCTACCTCGAAAGGCATAAGGCTTCCGGCCCAGATGGGCTGTCCACAACGACTTTAAAGGATGGAGCCTCGACCTTGCTCCCGGAGTTAACAAAACTCCTGGGCTCAGTGTGGGAGAGGGAACAGGTTCCAACTGAATGGTTTGAATCGGGCGATCAGACCGATTTACAACAAAGGTGACAAATCCTATTGTGAAAATCACAGAGGAGTTAGGTTATTCAACGTCTCTAAACTTCTCGCTGGGATCATACTTCGTCGATTGTCTACCGCACGTGAACGGTGCACGTGTGAGAACCAGCCTGGCTTTAGATCTCACCGAAGTTGTATCGACCACATCTTCACTCTTCGACAAACTGTGGAGTACCGACATTCTTTTCGCAGACCCATTATTTCTGTCTTCCTGGATCTGAAGGCAGCCTTCGACTCAGTCGACCGCTCTAAACTCTGATGCTGCCTTTCTCTGAAAGGTGACCAAGAAGTTAATTTCAATATTACAATCCCTTTATACTAATATCCGAACTCGAGTCCGAGTTTACGGCACTGAGTTCACCTGAGTTCACCACGGAAAGTGGTGTTCGACAGGATTGCCCTCTCTCTCCTTTTCTATATAACACTTTTTATAGATTTGATTGTGGAAACAGTTTTACACTCGTACGAGAATAGCGGCATCGATTTACTTCCAGGTGGTAGGTTGTCTGGTCTAGAGGATGCAGACGACATTGTGCTGCTGAGTGAAGATCCAAGTAAGTTGCAAGCTTTTTTGGATAGCTTGAATGCCAGTGTAGCCATTTTCGGTATGTGTTTGCACCTTCAAAGTGTAAAATGCTACTACAAGACTGGGTTGGTTCAGCACCTAGTCTCACTCGAACTGGGGAAGTAATAGAGCAAGTAGACAAGTTTTGTTATTTGGGCAGTCTTGTCGAACTACAGTGGAGATGGCAAATGTGGCGAAAGCTGGTCATAGGCCCTTATCTGACCTGAGGTATGACAATACAACTCTTTGAGGATCGACACATGCTTTTCTGGCACTCCATTCCTCAACAAACAATACCATGGTGCGATCCTATCGAAAGAGTCGAAGGCGGTGCGATGTCTAAGGTCACGA